ACAGGGCCTTAATGCAGATCTGCTACAGCATCGCGAAGCAAATTATCCATTTTTATATACGTGGTCGAAGACGAACAACATGGAGTGATTGTTATATGCCAGAGGATTGCGGACAAGTTACGTAGGGTACGAAGTGATCGATCGATAACGCGTGGATGGCTGGAAGGAAATCAATGATGTGTCCGATTGTCTGCAAAAAATATTTGCAGCGCCACCACTAATTGAGCTATGAGAAACGACGTCAAAACATTAAGTTTTGAATTGACATTGCTGATAAAATAACAATTAGAGCAAATGTCTTTCTAATTGAGGTTCTGCTTTACTTCATCGATTATATCTTAAAGTTATATAATTATAATTAGTTCTATTAACTAACATTATTATTCGTTAAATTTATTCGTTACAATTTTAGACTGGATACGTAATATAATATTAAGTAACAATTAGCTGACGAACGGATCGGTAATTACAAGCCTATATAATCGTTGGGCCGATATGTGTTAGTATAGAAATTGTGAAGGGCACAAACTAAAGGCCAATTTACACGGGCGATTTTTTCTGCGATTTCAGTTGCGATTTTCTCCTTTTTGGAGGATGTGAATTAATTGGTAAATCACGCACTGAGATCTGTTCATATCGACTATACACGAGTGGATCACGAGTGACCACAAATAACCAAGGTGACCACCAATGCACCAAGAGTGACTACGAAAGACCACCAGTGATCACGAGTCACGTTGACCGGTAAAACGTTTCGGAATAACATATGTCATCATAAAAGGCAAAAAAAATTTTCGATGTATCTCTCCATATAAACTCATCGTCACTAAAATTTGCATGGAGTCGAAAACTGATACTTTGTGGTCGACTTTTACTTACATTTGTGGTCACCTGTGGTCCTCATTTGTGCATTTTTACAGGGTGTCTAAGAAAACGCTATGGAAATTCAACAGGCTGTCGTGCATCATAAACTTAGCTAAATAATTCAATTTTTACATAGGACGAACAAGTTGTAATTTAAGTTCTCTATGATAGCTTTTCTAAATCGTAACGATGAGAAATCGCCGGATATAGACCAATTGCGAAACTTAGTGACCGCGCCTTCAACTGCCGAAAACAAGGCTTATTATGCAAAAACAAATCATTCTGCTATATTTTTATATGGCGAAAAATGAATTTCAGTGCTTGAGACGCGTTTTTATGGTAATCTCTTTATTTTTTCAATATTTTTGTTTTGACTATGTAAATCTAGTCTTACTTCAAATTTCATTGCTTTTTGCGGCGTGCGAGGCAAAGCTTTGCTGTTTTTCGCCGTCCGATAAAAGAAGCAGATTATACCAGAGAAAGAAACAGGTATTTTCCGTCTGTTTTATTAATACTTTTCAAAGAATAAGTTGTAACATTGATTAATTTTTGTTTCAGTTGTAATATAATAGCAAGTTTTCGATTTTAACTTTAAAAATATGAAAGTAAATGTCGGGCAAAATTTGTAGAAATTTTATCTTATTATCCTTTGACAAAATCGTTTTTTCTCGCACGAGGTCTAAAAAAATCTGGGTAGAAAGAGTTATATTTTAGTTTGTTAAGTTATACTGGCTATTTTATTTGCATCGTGATCAGATTTTAAAGTCTAGATTGATCTTTTCCATATGTTTGTCCCATGGCATGCTAAAACAACAACGAAATATCTCTCCAAAGCGGGTAAAAATATAGTCGGAAATCGATGTTTAGATAGATTTAACAAATATTTATATAACCTAGCACAAAATATTAAGAAAAGATCAAAGAGATTCAAGAAAAAAACACTTTAAAAACCCTAAAATTCACTTTTCGCTATGTAAAAATATAGAAATTGTTTTGTTTTTGCATTAATAAGCCTCGTTCCCGTGCAGTATGAAGGCGCGGCCACTAAGTTTCGCAATTGGTCTATACTCGTCAAATAATAATTGCCAACAATCACATTCTTCCACCGTTGAGAATTGAAAATAATTATGCAAAGTAAGAACAGCTGGGAAATTTGTTGCGCATGCGCCAGATTTCCATTGAAACTTGAAAATTTCCCCGAAGAAATATTACGAGATGTTCGTTTGTATATTTTTGAATGCCTGTTTAATCTTTATACTTTTTTTTTGCTTTAGACAAAGACAAAGTAAAATGTACTCTACGTTTCCAATGTATAGAATATCTCGTTTGAACAGCAATAGAATATTATAATCTTGACACAAACAAGAAGACATTTGACACGCTAAATCTGTAGTCATGCCTGAGGTGCAGGGTTGGATATAAGAACATTTTTTCAAAAATAAAATGTTCTTATTTCTTATATTAATATAAGAACATTTTTTGCAATATAAGAACATTTTCAAAAACTTTGATGGCGTCATATTATGACATCATCCAAAATCCTAAAATGACGATTCAACTTCAATTTTAGATGTTGCTGTAACGTCTTTGCTTTCAAAACTATAAAAATAGTTATCACTGCTGTATTTATACGACTATTATGTGTATATCTTATTTTCAGGATGAATGTCAAATAGTTAAAATTTACAACTTTGAAGTAGAATAATTAATGAGAATAATATAAGAAAATATAAGAACGTTTTTGCCTCCCAAAAAAATATTCTTATATAATATAAGAACATATAAGAACAACTAATATAAGAACATTTGCAACCCTGATAAAAGCCAATCGTCGCGAGCTTGACAGCCTTGTCAAACGCAAAACAAGTAGAAATTTGGGTTGAAACAGAAAGAAGTTCAATGTTAATACAACTAACATATATTCTATACAAATACGGGTGGTTTAAAATGTTTTCAATTGAATGATTTTCAAAGCTTTTATCTATCGCTATGATAATCAAACTGCGAAAATGCCGCAGTTTTGTTGACGCTTGCGAATGCAAAATAACTTCCCGTAAACAGAGCATTTCTATACAAAACTCTCGCTTAGTCTTCTGATGCACTTGTACGTTCGGTTCTACTAGTTAACCAAGGAAAATATTCAAGAAACACTGGTAAATTATCGTGGTCAAAAAAACATTTCAGAGGCAGTACGAGGTCTCAAGGGCAAGGTCAAGTTGTCGATTTCATTACATTTTACAGCACTTCGGAATGTTTTCGAACTTTTGCTTCATACAAGAGCAGTAAACGCACGCATTTCAAAGCGAAATTAGACGCAAAGGGGCAATGTCTCAACAAAATTCATTGCTAAATTATGTTTCCTATGTGCCTTGGGAGCAAAAAAATATGATTTTAAATTTGGAGGAATCAGTAATTTTTTTTGCAATTTGGCCTGGTATTGCACCCTACCTATGCAATGACTGTGCTGTAAAAGTAATCAAATATACTATTTTGAATTTCCCTTCATTGAAAGGATCTACTATTGGGAACTAAACTAAATTTTAACTCAGCATACAAGATTGCAAACAACAGCCAAGAATTAGCTGGGTAGTTTGCAAACTTTAAAAATAATTGGACCTCAAACTTTGATTCCCCAAAGTAAACAAATGGCCAATACTGCGAACATAATCCAAGTTTTGACCACTAGGGGCAATTTTTAGATGTAAAAAAACTTGTTTAAATTACATATCAAACAAAGGCAAACAAAATTTGGTATTAATTTTTTTGAGGAAACGTCAAGGTTCTTTGCTATCCGCGCACGCTTCTACACCCCCTTCCCCAGGACCCTCTCTATCAGAAAACAGTTTTCTGCAGAAACTATGCTTTTTAATCGGGACAATTTTTACTTTTCTCAAAAAAAATACTTTAAAACACGGAAACCTTAAATATTTAAATAATTTTCATACCTTTTCGGGATTGAAAAAAGCAAAATTTGATTCATTATCACACTTTTTAAAATATATGTGACAAGGTTGCTTCAAAATCACTATCACGCAGTAGCATGATTATTTACCCTCATCCTTTTGACTGAATAAAGTTTATCTTTTTGAAAAGCTATTTGTTTTATAGCTCTTGGTTAGCAGTTTACGTTTATATCGATTTTGGCACCCATGAGGCCAACAAGTTATGGTAATCTGCGAATGAGAACTGATATTCGAAGAGCACAAAAGCCAACTCCTAGCTATGTAACTTTACGCCTGAATTTTGAATCAATCCACAATTAAATTTCTGGTAATGTAGATGCTTTCCATACTTGAGATGTTAGTGAAGTTTTTCCAACAATTTAATTTCCTTGATCGCCGTCTTAAAAATGCAAAATCATCAGTTGAAATTTCACTCGTATTGTTTTTTCAAATTTTTGAATTTTTGTAAAATATCGCGTGCGCCAGCAATTTCTCTGCACAGCGACAACAAATTTCCCAGCTGTTCAAAGTAGGTCAATTCAAAAGCAACGCGAGCCTACTGCAAGCAACCTGCAAGCTATTTGTTTCTTAAAACGTTTTGATTACAAATCGTCTCTGTTCAGGAGTTAATTGAACCATGTTTTATGGACGTTGTTATTGAGTTAATGTCTCAATTAATATTGCTAATTGTAGCATGCACAACTCAACGAAAACCAACGTAAAGCCTTATTAGACGAACCATCTATTTGTCGAAATGCATAGAAACTGGCCTGCTCATTGGTAGAGAATGCACAGCATGAACTGTCGTCTGGTATTGAACGAATATTATAATCAAATACTGTTCCACCTAAAAAACGAGCTAATTCTCATTGGTTGAGACAGCTGACAGCACATCATGAATTTGCGACTGGTGTTACACAGCGGACGGACTTATACTCGCAAGGACAATACAATTATAAGTTGTTCGAAATCCATTGTCAAATATTCAATATTTTAGAAAGGACTCAACACTTGTCCATGTTAAACTACAAAACAAATGTTCACATTGACAGACAGGCATTGCTGTAATTCGTTAAAAAATTAAGGACCATTAAACGCACAACTCACAAAGTTAGGAAGCAAAACTCGTGCCCTTTGGCGCAAGTTATTCCAAGGAATAATAATTTATAGAAACGCTGAAGTAACAGATTAGCGGTTAACAATTAATGTCTGGTTCGTTATTTAAGCTGAGATACCTTTCTTTCTCTGACAATTATTCAATATTCCTACTCGCGGTAAACACAAATAAGTTCTGGACCGGTTTAAGAGTCTTTTCGAGAAACTTCAGATTGTTTTGTGTTGGTAAATTCTGTAGCATTGATTTTGTGCCTAGTAAGAGGAATTTGGTCTTGTCAGGATTGATTAATAATTGGTGTTCCAAACACCATTCAGCGATTTTATACAGATTGTTTTCTAGTTTAGCTATTGTCTGTTGTACGTCTTCGACAAGAAATGCAAGATGGAGTTTTGAATCGTCAAGATAGAAGTCGAAATCAGTTGAAACCGTTACAGCTGGTAGATCATTAACGTAAATTCCAAACAAAAGTGGTGAAAGAATAGAGTCATGGGGCACTCCATGGCTTAGTGTGCTAGTTGAGGAAACAGTTGATCCTATTCATACGTATTGTGATCTGCCTGACCGATAGCTTTCGAACCATTGAATGTCTAGCGGAGACGCTCCTACGCGTTTTAACTTATGCAAAAGAAATGTATGATTGATCCTGTCAAAGGCCTTACACAGGTCCAATAAAATTAGGGCTGTTATATGTTTTTTGTCCATAGCTTCCAGCATCTTGTCCGTAATGAAGATGTTTAAAGTTTCTGTAGAGTGGTGTTTCCTATTTCCATTTCGGTGCGGTGATAAAAGTTGGTTTTCTGCTATGTATGAACATAATTTAACAGGCTTAATACTAAACTGTTGATCCGTGGGGTAGATTTTAGAGTTCAACATAGAATCCGATAATGCAATGTTGTTTTTGTTTACCCGATCCATTGCTTTAGCGGCGGTGATTTTTCCAACAGAGGTGAAGTAGTTATTAAAGTCTTCAACAATCGACTTGAGGTCTTTCGTATAGACATGTTTTTCCTCTTCTTTTACAGGTATAGTTTTATTTATCATTTTCTACAGAGAAGCTGGGTTATTTTTATGGACTTTAACTCCATCAGATAGATGGTTTATTGCTGCCTCTTTAAGCATAACTTTAACTTTGTTACGAGATTCTGTGTACATTTTCCAATGCCGCTAGCCTGACTTCGAGAACTTTTAAAATTCCTAAATGTAAAGTGAACGATTTGAAAAGTCTTTTATAATTGCTGCTAGTTCTAATAATGAAAGCAGCAGTCACTGAGGATTTTATATATTGCGAAAATAACTGTTAGTTTTACTGTAATTATATATTCTTAAATACATCAATAGATAGAATAATTAATTGAATAGACAGTCCCATTAACTTAAAGTTACAATTATTTTTATTATGTTTAAGTATTTTTAAGCAGTAATAGATAGTATATAAATTAACTTAAACCTTTCTTTTGCAAAATGTAACCGTTGTAATTCAGCCTCTTGGCTGCAAGATCGTTTTTTTGAGTAAATTGTACATTGTAAACTGAAAAAGACCTATGTTTCGCCCACCCTAAAATTCGCGGGTCGACGGAGCGGGCGAAACGTAAGTCTGATGAAAATGTTGTCAAAACGCTGTGGAATCCGACCGCCTGGTGGTCGGAATAGATGATTCGCTAATTCACAGGGAAATAGGTTGTGATTGGTTGGTCGCTAACATGAAAAGATGTGAAAAGGTCAGAATATATTTCAACGGTATTCTCAACGCATATACTATGCATATTGTGTAATATTCTAAATATTTTGTGAAGTCGAACGACAAATATACTAACAGTATCTATTTTAAAACTAGAGCGGGAGTAGAGCAGACTTGTCAAATACTTCAGCGTTGTGTCTTTCCGTTGTAATATAAGCCTATAATACAATAATTCTTACACTATTTACGTTTTGTGGTAATCATAATAAAACTGATACAATTATACACATAGGCCTATGTGTCAGTGTAATAGTGCGTTTATATTTGCATTTCGATAACATAGCACGTAGAAAATATTTTATTTAGATTTTAGCAATTTATGGCGGCTACAAAATGTATAAATTGTAAGAGTCTGGTCCTGTTTGGATGCAATTCAACAATGGGACATAGCCATTGTCAAATTTGCGTACGCAGATTTTATTGCATTTATAGAATGTGTTGAAAATGTTGTATTATTACTAGCTGTAACTGTTTGTGTAAGGGTTAAGAATACATAAAAGCAACATACTGCATGGGGTTACCAATATTTTTAATATTTATTCAAGCATCTGTAATATCGAGTCTTACTTTGTTTACAAATTTTCAATAAACTGAATCATCATCGTTAATTATTGCAAAATCAAAGTGGGCGGTAGTGCGTTTTGACGTGATTTTCATCAGACTTTCGTTCTGCCCCTCCCACCCGCGAATTTTAGGGCGAGCAAAACGAAGGTCTGTATTCAGTCTACAATCCCGCATGCAATGTGTTTTAAGAAATCTCTGATGTAGTTTTGTCTCGAGATTTCATGAGTTCTTTCGTGTCGGGCGTAACGAATGTGTTGGAACGGCTCCTAATTTTGATTGTTTTAATTGGTGCATGTAAATCCAAGGTTGACTGAATAACATCCTTAAGGACTTCAGTCTTAGTATTTATATCTGTTTCGCTAAATATGGATAAAAGACGATCAGATTTCGTAGCCAGATCAGAAGAGAAAGCTGTGGGGTCATAATTTTTGTCGCATGCCATATATGGCATGCAACTTTTATATAGCTCTAAATTTCGTGTCGCGGTCGGTGAGCGGTGGTGAGCGGTGAGCGCACGTGGTAGATTCGTAAAATACGACAAACACCGAGTTTTTTTCGACGAGCATTTTCATGCCGGGTTTTCGTCGAGGAAACGCAAAGAAATAGCTAAGAAATATTGATTATTTGACGAAAATTTACATAATTGAGCGCCTTAGGAAAATAAATCGAGGTAGGTAAAGCTTTACTGTTTTTAGCTTACCTTATATTCTGTTATTTTTTGTGACTTTGGAGCCGTTGTACTCGCACTGATTCGTGATTATTTATCAATTATCAGGCGTTTAATTATATTTATATATTATCGTGAAAGCCTCAAAGCCGTGAACGGCAAACGCTACCAAAATACTCGATTTTTATATACTCTCAAACTGAAATGGAGTCATTGTGCTCGCACTGATTATACGTAGTGTGTGTAAAGCTTCAAAATTACAGCACATTTTGTAAATAACATGATATATAAATATCAGACAAACATGGCCGAAACTCCAAACATACCACTATAAATTAAAAACTGAAATTCAAACGGGCATTTTGCGAAAACATCTGACGTATGTACTAACTCGCACGGGATGAATTTTGACAAACATTTTTCAAATTAATACCAAGAAGTCATAACCAGTAATTACCTAAATATCTTTGCCAATTTTCCATGTAGCTATAATCCACGCTTAGTTGGCCATTAACCGACACAGTTATAAACAGTATATCAAACATAATTTATATTTTGTGATTTCAAAAAAGTTATACCTTGTTGTTTTATGCAGAATGCATGTACACGTCATTTGGTGTATTAAATTGTTTGCGTAAAAATCTGGTAAAAATTGCCAAAATTGAACCCAAATTTCTATGTTTTCCTTCGGTAAAATTTTTTAAAACTTTGCACATTTTTTAATATCGGCACAACAAGTGCAAGATCCTTTTTTTCATAAAATTAAATCGAAAATTTTTAAAAATGATTTTTGACGTTTTTTTAAATTTTCTAAGAAACGTATCCATCTAATTTTTTTAAATTGAGGGGAAAAAATCATTATACAAGTATTATCTTCTAAGCAAAGTTTTAAAACATTTCACCAAAGGGAATTTTTAAAATGACCTGAAAAAGACAAACTTTGAGCTTTATTCTAAGCATGCTGTTGCTATGAAAACATATTTTCAACACAAAAGTAGCAATTTGCAATGTTCAGGAGAACATTGTCAATGTGTTCAATAAATTTCGTCTCCATATCATGTAAAGAAACAGGAGTCTCCTGAATACTATAGTGTAGAAAATTAAAAAAACCCTACAATCAGGAGCAAAAATAAATGAGACTTTTCACGTTTTTGGCCAGTTTCAAGTACGTCGGCCTCCCCCCTCTCCCCATGATCAATGTTGGAAAAAGCGGATTGAATTTTCTCTTTTCAGTCATCCACAAAACATTGAATTGGGGGTGCGTGGGGCAGTTATGCGTTTGTCTCAATATTTTTTGCTCCTGATTGTTGGGAGCCACCTTAAACTTACTGAATCAATATTTTAAGTTTCACGCCAGCTGTTCCAAAGATTTATATAAGCGCTATAGCGCATCATAAGTTTTGCATGGCATGCAACATATACGCACTGCGTACCTATTTTTATAACTTTTCACCGTGATGTAAATAGGTGGTGTCTTTGGAACCTTCAGTTTCGTTGATACTTAAATTGGAAAATGATCGCTGATTGCAGAATCTAATACTCTGCTTTCAAGGACTACGGTTTCAGTAGAAACTAGTATAACATCGATGAGCGATTGCTACGTGTTCTTACTAACATAACTGAATATTCGTTCGTTTTCGTTGAGTTGTGCATGTTAAATATTAGTTGACTTGCATTTAAGGACTTATATAGCCTCATTAATATCATTATCGAGACGTAAGCATAAGCGAAATCGCTGATTTCTACTGGTTGCCGC